TCACACACACACACACACACACACACACACACACACACACACACGTGCGCGCGCGCGCTCGCTGGCGCGCACAGATCTCTTCATGATGCCTAAAACTATTAAATTAAACCCTGTTGTTCCAAGTACATACGAAGGGTGCAGGTAGATACGATTTCAGTGCAGTTTTTTTTTTGAGGGGAGGGGGGGTTCAAGGTATCTTACGACAAAAGCCTTTAATTGTTTCATTCTCAAATGTGTCATTGTTTCACGCTTCACCCAGACATAATGGAGCCCTTTAGTGTGAGTAGTAAGATCAGAACGTCCTCACCTGATAAAAGGCTTTGTTCTCACAAACGGAAGCCAGAGTATACAGACTAATTAATTAATAAAGAGCTAATCTTATGCAAACGTGCGTTTTAACATTGACAGCTTGTGCTACTATAAAACATATCAATGGTTACATTCAAAAGGGGTTGATTAATTAACATTAATTTAGCACCTTAACTTTAAAATAAAATTAATGATTCGTTAGAGTGAGAGTTGATTAACTCGGTCTCCTAAACATGCGGCTGGTACCTATAATATTAAAATAATTTGATAATGAAAAAAGAGCTTGAAGACTTTGTAAACTGTGGGCCTACCCTGTGTTTACCCTTGTATTTGTTGAAAGTTCGAATAATTTCACTCAGTGTGCAGCATCTAGGTCGAAATTCAGGGTCACAACGAGGTGTTCTGCTATGTCCCTTATAGGGGGTGCCGCCAAGCGAGATCTGGGCGGGTCGGGTCGGGTCGGGTCAGGTCGAGTCAATTTGGTAGTTGGGGCTAGCCAAATTAAGGGCCAAAAACGGCCATCGTGGCTCAAATCGATCGACGCGGTCTGTGAAATTAAAAAACAAACTGAAAATTAATAAGCGGGATGGGGGTGGGGGAAGCTTTTTCGATACCTTAGAGTAGGAACAGAAATTTGCAGACTATGTGTGACGCTTTGATGCACAAAGAAAGCTGGAAGTAGGTGGGGATGGGGTAAATTAAACTTGGATTAAACTAAACTATTACCTCGTAACCTTGGCTTCTAGAGTCTTGCCATGTATGCTCACTTTGGGATCTGCACGGTGTTGTTCCAAAGGTCGTCGACACGTTTGAACGCCCTGTGACGTCAGTGACCCTCCAAACAGTCCGGTGACATACCGATACCTGAGTGAGAACATCCTTCCCCGTGTAGACTCAATCAATCATCAGAAGCGCTCAACCCCCTGACGACCAACCGTCAAGTTTGTGAAAACAGGACTCTTGTCAGCGATGAATCATCAAAATTGTAAGTTAGTGCTATGGATGGATTAGTGGATGGATGGGTGGTTTGGTGGATGCATGGGCCGAATGATAGATGAATGGATGGGTGGAATGATGGGTGGATAGGTGGATGGATAGATGGATGAATGGGTGGATGGATGAATGAATGGATAAATTAGTAATCGGCGTCTGTGTTGAAATAGCTTGTTATACCCAATGCACAGTGTCAATTGAATTCAATCGAATTCAGTCGAATTGCGTCGGGGCCAGCCATATTTTTCTTCATATGGGGACACAAATCTACCATCGTGGCAATTTGACCAAATTCGACTGAATTCAATCGTTACCTTCAAAATCAAACTCGCTTGTTTTTCAAGGTCTCGAGTCGAATAGGTCGTACCGTGTCAAAATAGTAGCAATGGTAGCTGTTGTCCCTCCATTGAGGAAAACCCGGCTGGTTCCGACTCAGTTTGACTGAACTAAACTGCTCGTGTGCAATGGATGTAACCTTTGCTTCTCATGCCCTTGTCAGTAGCCCTATATGCTTACATTACAATATGCTACAGACGTGAGACCGACTGCTTTTTGTTGATTTTTTAAAAATTGATAGTATCTCCATCTGTCCAGCTGGGATGCAAAATCCCCTAAATTCTGGGTCGGTCCTGACAGGCAGGGTAGAAATAGCGGGTCTCTTTAATGATTAAAATTGTGTCGATAAACGCGCAAAGCACACAGTGAATAAACCTTCCCTGCGTCACCCCCTTGTCCTCCTCTTCAGCCAGGGCCGACCCGTTGCAGTGTCTACAAGACGGCGGCGCGGCAGTTCGGAAGTGGCGAGAGGGTGTGTTTTCGAGTTTTCGAGCAGCGTGTAAATTAGCTCCACTGTGTCGTTGGAGATGTGAAATACTTCCTATAAAAATACATGTACATGAAAATAAATCTTAAAAGGCTGAGGCAGTATGGCGATAACTGAGGGGTATGGGTTCGAGTGTGAACGATTTGGCCATCTCAATTACCCAATTTGTTTCAATGGAGAGATGTACAACACACGTTCAACGAAATGCCGGAGTAAATCTTCTCTATGTCCGCCTCCCGTCCTCTCCCTCCCCCCCCCTCAGCCTGGGTGAGCGTGCTCGGGTGTTGTTAAACTTTTTGGAGACCCACATTCTGGTTGTTCGTTAACGCCTGAAGGAGAGCTGTTTTAGAGCAATATAATTTTAACTGCTTCGTAGTTGGTTTTAATTTGTCAAATTATACTCATGTTGACGCCACAATGTTGCTATCTGGTAACTTTATAAAGACGTCTACTTATTGTAGTGTTGCCCCCCACCCCTTCCCTGTTTACACGCTGATAACAACATGTTTACTATTAGTCTATGAAATATGTAACTCCGTGTTTCTGATATTGTGTACGATCGTTTGATTGTGCCACAACATGGACTTTTGTCTGCTGTCGGAAATAATATTATGTGTCCGCTACGTCTTTAAGGTGTTAAGAGGCAGCACCATTTTGTTGGTGGCTGAATAGTACGTATTTTAGCTGGGACAGCCTGGCTCCTAAATTATCCTTTCAAATATATGTCGATGGAGATGTAAAACGCCTATTATTGAATAACAGAATGAATCTTCTCTGCGTACCCCCCCCCCCTTTTTCCCTCTTCCCCACCCTCCCCTCCCCAGCTACATCCGGCCTGTTGGAGCGTCTGCAAAATGGCGGCAGTGTGGTGGTGGCCGAAGGGTATGTGTTCGAGTTCGAGCGACGTGGCTACCTCAAGGCTGGCGCCTACGTTCCCGAGGTGGTACTTGACCATCCGGAACTTGTCAAGCAAATGCACGAGGAATTCGTCCACGCCGGGAGTGACGTAGTGCTGGCTTTTACGGTAGAGTAACGCCCCGTGTTTACGATAGC